CCCCCCCCCCCCCCCCCCCCCCCCCCCCCCCCCCCGCCCCCGTCGTCACTGCACGACAGGCCGCCTCCAATTTACCTATGTTTTAACACTAAGATTTGGAAGCGTTGGGCCTTTCTGAAGCCTTCTTTTCGTTTCCTTTTGTTTTAAGCCCCCCCCCCCCCCAACAGTGAGCCTCACTTTGGCCCTAATGGCCAGGTTGCAGGTTCACTGACTCAAATCCTTGCAAATGAACAACTCCCTCCTCCAAAAGAGGAAGGAATTGTGTTTTTATTTTTTTTCCGCCGGTTTTCTTTTAATGGCCTCGAAGCCCTCTGTGTGGCCGTGTTCCCTGTGAATAATTGCTTCACTGTTTTTCCTGGGGGCTCATGTTTGTGAGACTGTAAGGTGCTAGGCTCTTCGTTTTCCATTTCCAGACAGGAAATTAAGCTTTCCCCTTCATTCGAACTTTTTAAAAAAACATGGTGTGCATGTGAAAATTAACCCCCTTAGAATAGCACGTTTTTTGATTTTATTAACCAGAACCTTTATGTAGCCTAGCAGTAGTTTTTTTAGGGAGGTCCTGGAAAGGTTACTGTTTTTTGTTTGTTTTTGATAGAGGCTGCCTTTCCTTTTCTGAGCCTCAGTTTACTGGTCTGTTAAATAGGGGGTGGCTCTGGATGAAACAGATTATTAGCTATATAATATCTTAAATTAAAAAGCGAATTTGTGCAACTGTTAGTAGCAGACAGTACTATTGTCTACTGTAGTACTACATGCTGTAGACTGGCTGGGTTTAAATAGAAGCAGCATTGGAGCATGAGGGAATAGTCATCCCAAAACCAAATTCTTGGGGATTATACTTGAAATATACAGTTTTGGAAATCATACACTTATTTCATCTCTTAGGAAGTGTATTGCTTTTTAATTTTTTTCTTTACAATTTTATCTAAATGCTTCTGGAAAATTATGTCATGTTGTGATTATCAACATGTCTACAAAGACAGTGTCTACAAAGACAGTTTTTCCTTTCTGTAAGTCACAAGTGGAAAATGTCTTTGGCCATATTACTCAAAGAAAAGCGAATTTAAGCCGTGTGAACAGTTTCAGAATAAAAGCATGTAAACTTAGGTCAGAAAGCATAGAAAATAGGAATGGAGTGTGTTTGGGTTTTCATTTACTTAAGCATTTGAAGGTTTTTTACATTTATAAACTGGAAGAATGTTATTACACTGAAATAAGTGTAAAGATGTCTGTGAGCACGGAAACGGGCTAATTCTAGCGCTGATTTTAAAGAGTATCCTGAAATAAGCCAAGAAATAGAGAGTAGAAATTGAATGAATAAAATCTCTCAATGGAACTTAGTTATGTTAAATAAGAACTGCGCATTCCTTAAATAACTTGATTTTTATGCTACCTGGTGGGGGAAAAAAAAACAAACAGAACTAAAACTCATGTTAATGTTTCTAGGGCACCAGTTTTAACTGATTGAAAAACATATTGTTTGTTTTTAAATTTTTAATCATATGAGGTTCAACACACTCTGAATCTTTGGGTAACATGAGATTTTTTTTTTTTTTAACCATTAAGTCAGACAGTTTAAAAATCTGATGTCTGAAACAGGCAGGATTTTAAAAGTCTATCTCTGAGTCAAACTGCTTTTTAAAATGGTTTTATAAGTTAGGCAATTTTAAAAAAAAGATATTAGCTAAGTAAAATAATTAAAAGTGGATAGCTAAAGTACACAGTTTGGAAAAATAGGTATGTCAGGAAATGTACAGATATATTTAGCTAACTCAGACAGTTTCTTGAAAATAGATTTCTAAATCCAACAAAAAATGTGTGTCTAAGTCAGCACATTAAAAATATTTCCTATATGTCATACTATTGAAAATGTTAAGCACTTGTATTAGTCTGACCGTTTAAAATCTTTCTCAGATCATAAAAGCAATCAGATCATTTAAAATATTCTTGTAGTCAATTCAGACTACCTAAAAAACAGAGTTTGCAATCTAACAAAAATCGCCTAAGTAAGAATTTAAAAAGAAAACATATTTATATATTTTAATTGTGTGCATTAAAAAACACGTGGCAAATCATAAATTTCTGAAGTGTTTTGGGTGAAGTGTTCCATGTTCAGTTTGCTTACAAGTGATTTTACAGAAACTATTTCTGTGTGCACACACGCACACACAATCAAATATGGTAAGATGCTAGCATGAGTAAGTAGAGATTACAATTTTTTCAACTTTCCTGGAAGTTTGGAAAAGTGTTATAAACATTTTGGAGAAAAAGCCCTATCTAACATGATTTTTAATAACTGTATTGAATAACTCATGCAATATTTTTCACTGCATATCTAGCTCAAAAAATGTAAAACTTTGCTTCTGACTTGTAAATTTCAAAACCATGTAGCAAATCAAAACTACATCTGAATATGGACTAGGTGTTAGGTGATATTAAGAAGTTATTAATTAGTTAAACTAATCAGAATCAAATTTTTTAATTTTATTAGAGATGCCTACCGAAATGTTTAGTAATGAAATATCAAGATGTCTGTTACTTATTTTAAATACTTAACCCTCCCCCAAAATAGAGTAACAAATAAGGCAAAATGTTATGAATTGTTAGGTCTAGTGATGAATATGTGGGGGAATACTATAACATTTTACATACTTTTCTTGAATGCTTGAAAAATTACAAAGAAAAACATATGTGTCATAGTAAAGTAAAACAATTAAAAAGGGACAGCTTGTAACTATATATCTAAAACTCAGGTAATTAAAAAGTAAGTAACTAAACCTGACAGTTTGACTTAATTTGAAAAATCATAACCTGACATTTTAAGTTCCTAATTAGAAGAAAAAGCTGTAGAAATTGATTTTGGTGTGTGTATTTGTTATCTCATACACAATTAAAAATAAATCACACCTAAAATAATAGATTTTTTTAAAAAAAATTCTAATCATGAATGTTCACATCCTTATTGAGGAAAAAGCTGCAGAAATTTATTATGAAGTGACGTGTGTATATGTTTATGTATCTCATGTACCTCATAACAAAGCATAACTAAAGCCATATCATTCAAAAAATTTAAACTTATATTTTTTGCATCTTGGTTTGAGGAAAAAACTAGAAGTTGTTGGTAGTTGGTGGTAGGGGTTATTGAGTATACCCCACAGGTTTGTGCAGAATTCAGTAATATATCATAAATAAGAAGAAATGTAAGGAGGACATGCAGTGGCAAAACAAAGTCCCTAGGGCCACAGGGACCTAAAAGTCATTTGGCCCCACATCCCCATTTGTGATAACCCCTCATGCCTGTCTTGTACATGCTTGTCTTACTAGATCACATTCTGTGACAGTGATAGGAAATTCCAACAGCTAGTTACTCCATATCTTAAAAGTCTTTGCCCATGTTAATCCCAACTATGTCTGCATCTCCCACCCTGTGGTCCTAGTTCTAGTTCTGTGCCCTAGGGTCTCCAGCACAGGAAACCTCTTCCTTCTTCTGCATGATAACTCTACAGCCTTCTTCTTCCCCTGAGTTTTTTCTAGGTTCAGCATTCCCGGCTCAGACAGCATAGTTAAGTTTCTTTCCTATGAATGATGTCTAGTTTTTCTTTATCCTTTTTAAAGTTCAGCATCCAAAAATGAACAAAATTCTATTTGTTTGTGTTCTTAGTTGTGTTAATATTAGTAAAACTAATTGTTAAAAAACATACTGGGTTTTGTTTGATTTTGGACTCTCAGCAAAATGCACTTGTTGACATTTCTCATGCATTCTGTTTTTGGCCTCAGTTTTGGGTGCCCCATCACGTTTATGCCATAGGGCAACGTGAAATAAAGGAAAGAGCATTGGACTGTAAGTCTGGTGATTTAGGGCTAAGTCCCACTCTGCTGCTGACTCAGAGTATGTCTTTAGGCAAGGTTTTAATCTTTTTGAACATCTTTTGCCACATTTGTAAATTGAGGGGTTTGAGTTAGGTGATTTCTAGTTGCGTTTCAATTCAGCAGTGTTTTCTCAATTTGTTTTAATACATTGTTTCTCTGGATCAAGGCACACAGCCTTAGCTTTAATTTCAAAAAGAGAAATCTAGAGTTAACAACAGTGTTGTGGCTGTCAGCCCAAGGTTACCGACGAGAATCCTTAGAAGTACACCCAGTACTACACAAAAGTAACCTTGACATTCTGTCAGCCAAGGGTGGGTTTTAAAGCAGAGCCTCATTCAAGCAATTACAGGCAGGTTGACTGTAGGAAGCTGATAAGGATTTATGAAATTAAATAATCATTCAAAAAATTTGTAGTCCTGAATGAATGAAAAGTAGATGTTGAGTTGTCTTTCTGATCTGATGAGATGCTGTATGGATTTGTGTGATTTCCTTTGATCTCCTGGAATAGATCTAATATGGGGGTTGGAGCTACTTTGTTAGTGTTTACTGCCTAATCCATACTCGCTGTAAAATGATGCATAATCTATAAAGGGAAGCTCAAGTTAATTGGTCTTAGATTAGTTTGAAACTAGCACATTATTTTTAATAAAACATGTGCTTTAGGAAAAAAAAAGAAAGAAATTAAGGATTAACTATGGTTATAGGAAACCCGAGGCCCTTATTCAGACTTGGCTACAATATTCAATAAGATTTATTCAGAGCTTACTATGTGCCTGGCTTTGGGCTAAGCCCTTTCCATGTGTAACTTTATGTCATCCTCACAGTGCCCTGTCAAATAGATGCTACTGTTTTTCTCATGATACAAATAAGGAAACTGAGACTTAGAGAAGTTAGGAAACTGGCTTAGTATCAGCAACCTAATGAATCGGGGGGCAGTGCAGGGAAGTGAGGGGGTGGTGCTGTGATTGGAACTCTGGCAAACCTGGCTTCAGACCCTGTGCTCCCCTTCTGTGCCACGCTGGTACTGGCTCTGTTTTCTAGGACTTGTGCTGTAGATCTTGGAAAATGGAAGAACTTTTTATTTTTTTTTTTCTTACCATAGTCTACCATCTTTTCTTTATCTCACTTTACAACCTTGCATGCTCAATTTTTAACTTGCATATTGAAGGTTCTAAGTTTTATTCCAGGCTGAGTCTGTTGGAAAATTAGTTCTCTGTCTTTAGAATCCAAGTATGAAATCATTGTATATTTCTCTTTAGACCTATTTGCTTTTCTGCTTTTAAAGATTCCATTTGAGCAGTGAGGCTTACTTGAGAATAAGGGCACTTTGTTGGATAAAAGTGAAGCAAACTTTTATTTTGGCAGTAACGGAAATAAAGTAAATATCACTATAGCATAGACCTGTACTTCCAACTCATTTTGCTCAACTTTTCCAGACTTCCTGAGTAAACACAGATGGGTTTCCACTTATTTTTCAGTTTTATGTAGAAAGTTCTTTAGACTGTAAATTCCACATGCTGCTTGGAGTTTTCAGTATTTGCTTGATTGCATGCCATTGGCAGGTCAAAAACCTAGATTTAGACATTCTAAAGATTTAGAATGTGATGATGTGTAGTAACGTGTTTTCATTTGGCTGTATTTTGGTCTTTCCTGATGGTAATTCTAAAGGTTTTAATTCAGGTCTTGACTAAATTTCCTGGTAATTTGGTGGCAGGGGGAACTTTGAAAGCCTTGTTTTTAAGTAATAAATGGGGGGATTCTTTGAAAAGGTAATGTTCTGAATATAATTCCTGATGTGGTGTGGAAATACTATCACAAGTAATTCCCCAAATTGTTAATAAAATTAGGGAGACTGGAGGGTGGGGTGAAAAGAGGCCTGAACACCTGGGTCTTTCCCCATCCTAGCCATTATTAACAAGCTCTGAGATTTCAGGCAATGCATTTATACATTTTGAAGTTTAGTTTTCTTATTTGTAAGGAAAGAGTTGTTTCTAGCCCTAGAATCACATGATTCTGGTTTTACCTCTTATCAGCTAATAATTATAGAAATCAAAAGATCAGGGGGTGTGTGCTGGGTTAATAATCCAAGAGGACAGACTCACGTGTAGCAGAGATTTTAGCCGTGGTTTGCAGTAATACTTTGTTCAAAGATTAAATATCAAGGAGCCGCTGCAGAACACAGTAACGGGAAGAAGACTGAGATACTGAAGTTAGGGGGTAGCATCTTGTTTTATTAATAAAATATTTCAGTGCTTTCTTGCTGAAAATGTTTAGCTTTTAAAAAATAAAAACATTTTTTCCTTTTAAAATAAAAGGTAATGAGATTAGATTTCCATTTATTTGAAACTATCTTCTCTATTAATATCTTGTAATACTACTATTATGGCATGGTGTGTGTATAAATATAGCTCTCTTTTGCTCTCGTAACAAACTGTAGAAGGAATGAAAAGGATTTTCAGCTTTCTATGTCATCTAATTGAATTTTTACGTGGAAGAATGTTGCTTGATTATATTTTTATTGCTGTCATTGTTTAATAATATTTTGGCTCTGCTAGACCAGCTTCATTTGCACTATTAATTTTTAAATAAGTTATATTTTTTATTTTCTAAATTAACTGCTAAATATAAAAAAATCAACACAGTTGATTATTGAAATTCACCACTAATTATTTCAGTGATCAATACTGTAAAAAAAAAAAAAAAAAAGACCTCGTTGTTCAGATTATATGTCATTAGTAAATGTCTGTTCAGAAGATAGAGTTCCACGTTGATCTAAAAAAGAATCTTAACCCTCTGGTGCCAAGTTTCTCCCTTCCCACTCCCCTATGCAGAAATCTCTCCTTAGCTTTTGTTTTGTTTGTTTGCTTTTATAATAGCTTTATAAATAACTGAGCTTTTTAGACTAATAATAATAATATATGCCAAGCAAATAAAGAGTTTTTCTTTTATTTTACCACCTGTGTCTCTCTCCGGGAAAGAGTGGTTTCTCAGCTCTCTTATAACCACGGATAAAGCCGTGTCTGCAGGATTTAATTTGTAGAAACCGTACATATGTGGTCACTCAAATATTATCTGAACACAGCCATAGACAATTTTGGGATCATTCATTTTTTAATTTTGTTGCATTTGCAGGGTTGATTTACATTAAAATAAACATTTATTTTACCCTATAAAGTTACATTTTAGTTTTGCTCTTTTATCTTCCAAAGGGAAATTTAGAATGTGGCATATTGTATATGATATTTGATATTCATGAAACAGATTAAACAGTATATTTTAGTGAAAACTAAAGCAAGTATGTTTTATTTGTTTCTAATGTATTTCAATTTTTACAACTATTTATTGCTTGTTTTCTATCATTTACCAAAACAACAACTACAGTAAATAAAAATAAAAACATATATTGATGTAGCTTTTCTTAAAAAAGGAAGAATCAGTAAGGGGACATTTTAAATGGCTCGATTAGTGGATTTTTATTTTTAGTCAACTTAGAGTTGTTTAAAATCTCAAGTGTTTTCTCGACTGACTGTACCTTGTCTGTCTGTCTGTCCACATGCTTCTTTCTTTTTACTATCCCTAACTGGATGGGACTGATGGAAACAACCTGTATCTTCAGGAGCTGGATGAGGTATTGTATTTTGAATATTTTTGTGTGTTAGGTAATTTTAGTTGATAGAATACCTGTTTTTTCTGAAGTCTTTGGTTACATATAAAATGCTAACAGAGCTTATACTTATTTTAGTATTTGTCTTGATTACTTCATAATTAACAACTTAATACTTAGAATTTATTTAATATATTTTCATACCATGTGAAGTGATGATTTAGAAAAGGGTTTAGGAAATAATCTTGGAAAAGTATCTCAACTTTGGAAGCAGTAAAGGTTGAACATTTTCTTGAACTTGAAGACAGATTGTTTTTAGGGTTATGTCTGTAGCTTCCTGATTTCTGAGAGTAGTGTGATGTATGTAATTGCTCAGGTAGAGTCTAGAAGGTCAGGATGTCTGGCGAAAGCCCTACCTAAGTAGGACTGAAGCCACTGGGGCTGTTGAAGAGCCTTCCTGTCACTCGTGTTTGGGATGCAGTGAGTGGCACTAATCATTGCAGGGCCCTTCCTAGGAGCATGCTTATGGCCTTTTCTTTCCCGGGTAGCATCTTGCCCAGAAGGTGGACAGAGTATCTATATTCATAGCATTTTATTTTAGGAGCTCTAGTAAAAGGGTTGGGAAAAAATGAGATTGAGTTACTCTTGTTAATGTTTGTGTGTCTATTATCTGTTTCAGCGATGAAGGGGTAAAAATATTTTTCCTGAGGGTAGTAGACCTTTTAAAAAGAGTAATTGTTGGGGAGGGGTTTGTGTTCATTTTAATTTAGAAATATGAACAGTAAGGTGGGATTAGGATCACTATCTTCAAAACCACTTTACCTTACTAGTAAATTAAGATTTACCTATAAATTCTGAAAACTGTAACTAGTTGATAATATCAACAGACTGGGCACAACCTAAATGTCCTTCACTGGGAGCTGGATATATCAATTATATAGCATCTCAAGTATTCTGTAACTGTTAGATAGTGAGGCCCGTCTATGAGGGCTGCAGTAGAATGAGCTCCCAGACACACCACTAAGTGGAAGGAAGCTTGCTGCAAAACAGTGTGGAAAATGTGATTCCCACTCCTTTTCTTTTTCCTTTTTTGTTAAGAAAAACAACTCCCATTTATGCTTGTGTGTGCTTAAAATATTTCTGAAAAGATACACAAGAAACTATTAACAGTGGATACCCCCATGGAAAGTCTGGGATGGAAAAGAAACTTCCTTGCTATTACAGACCCTTTTCTTAGGGTAGATATATACTTTTAAACCATTTGCATGTGTTACTTTTATTACTAAAAAACAATTAGTATTTAAAAACAAGCCTGTAGCTGTAGCTCATTGAGCCAGGTGCCATGGCCATGTCTGCACGAGGAATGCTGTCCCCAGGCAGGGCCTCTCGCTGCTAGCACCCATCCCAGATCTGGGGCCCTGGGGAGGTAGAGGTAAGTCAGCTCACAGGCCGTGAAGTTAAAGGACCTCGGGTACAGTGGACAAGGATGGAAAGGCTTTGGGGGCTTAGAGAGTGGGTGGTTTTAGAATAAATGTTACTTTTTAGAAAAGTTTGAAAGTAGGGAACTCATGACCCCCTGTAGGATGGGGGAAGACAAACAATAGAATGACTGTGGTTGAAGAAGCATTTGGGTAGTCGTCTGAGGATGGCATGTAAGTGGATATCATTACTTGGGGTTTGCCATCAGAACCAATCTCCAGTCTTTCCTACTTCCTCTTCACGCAGCAAGTTCCAGAAACTGGCTATGCGCTATATGAACCTGCAGGCCCTTTTGCTTTTGTTATTCTTAGCCTCTGGGTGTTCAAAAGCAGGTCTTCACATTCTGTGGTCAGAGACCCTGAGTAGAGAGCCATTTCTCCACACAAACCCCATGTGCTGTTAGAAACGTGAGTTTGGTGTCCGGAGCTCACCATCCAGTCTGTCCATTCTGGCTACTCATGGCCACCTCACCCCCTTGTGTATTTCATGTGCCCCTTTTTCTCCTTTGTCCAGCACTATCTTATTTTCCATGAAGTGTAGCTTCCAGAATTATACATAACATGTATTTTACTTACCTCATTCATTCATTTCGTTCATTCATGTTGACTCATTCAGCTAGTTGTAACTGTGTTTCCATCACTAAGAAGTGCCAGGTGCTAAACTAGGAGCTGGGGATGTAGTTGGGAATGGTGGAAGAGGCTTGTTTCACTGAAGCCAAAGTAGGGCTTCAAATTGGTGTCTTCTGGGAATACTAAAAGTGTCTCCCAGATCCCAGAGTGGATTAAGTGGAAACCTGCTCCTTTATAGGTGAGGCCCAAGCAAACATACCCAATGGCGCATCACTTGGGCCTCTTAGAGTAAAGGCATCTGTGGCTTCTGCTCAGAGGCTTCCTGCGGTCTGTCCATTTTAGTCATTGTCCTACTCACATCTGAGTACCCTGGAGCTACCACTCTTCATTCTTCTCAGAAAATGCTAAGATGTCCCCTGAGGATGAAGCCCACCCACTGTTCATTCTCTTATCCGAGGAAGTGTCTGGCCTCTCTTTTGTTCTCTGTCTCTAATCTACTTCCCCTCCTATGACAAAGTAATCTCTCAAATTGTTTTTTTAAATTCAAAATAGGAACTATTAAAAAATTACAAGTTGTAAATGTCAAGCTTCTAAACACACAGCCTGGGGAGGGCAGGGTGACATAGAGGGCATCTGGGAAAGCCCAGGCTGTGCTGGGATTCCAGCCCAGTGGTCACCCTACTGATGAAGGCTTGAGAAAGTCCCTGGGCCCAGCTTGGCTTCAGTGTCCATATTTGTAAAATAAGGAGAAGTGCCCCTCTGAAGGATTTTTGTTGGGACTGAAAAAGGTCAAGTCAGTAGAAGTGCTTAGTACAGGGCTGACAGAAGACCAATAATTATTCCTCCTCACCTTGTTTTTTAAAAGGGTGTATATATTAGTTGAGAAAAAGAAAAGTTAGTGAAACTAACAACATTAATTAGTATCAGAGTGATATGATTCTCAGATTTTTTTATTTCAGTATTTTTGTACAGTTTAAAGAGTACCTTTTTTGAACATTTATTAATTTCATAATCAGAAAAAGTAAGCATTATTTTTGAATTATCACAGTTTAAAAAAAATGTAGTGCTGACATCCCGTGATTCTCTTTCATCCACATGCTATTCACTCCTCCAAGAACTCTGAGTTGTCTTCAGCCTAGTTGTCTGTTAGAGAAGTCTCTGAGCCCTCTGAGCCCGGTGAGTTATAAGCATAACTCATCTTGGGCTGACTTCATCATGCATGCTCCCAGAGTCTCACGTGGGAGCAGGAGTTGCCAGACTGTAATTTCCAACGTCCCTTCTGGACTTTTTAAATGTTCATTGCCACAGACAGTCCAGAATTGACAATATTGTTCTCATTACCAATGCATTATGGCTGAACTTTGCTTATTTTTTTTTAGATGGGGAGGAGATGTATCTGACTTTTCCAGTCTCTACAGAGGATTTGCTATTTGCTTAATCTTACAGTACACTAAATCAGCCTTCACGTAAAGGCAGGGTTTTGCAGAGTAGGAAGGTTGTATGTTTGGAACAGCAAAATTTATGAGAGAGTATGTGTTCCTTTCATAGATCAAGAGCTTGTCCATAGTGTCTGGTACTCTCTAAAGGGACAAATTTCAATATCTAAAGTAGATATCCAAGGGCAAAGGATAACTTTAGAGAGACTAGCAAGAAAGCCATTTGGGTGTGCTGTTTTGAGCATCTATTGGAATTTTTCTGCATTTCCCTCAGGAACAATGACTCTGGGTTAGGGTAGCACACCCCAGTAGTTCTTGGAAGACAGAACTACAAGTCAAAGAGATAAGAATTCTTCAATTCTCAATTCTCATAAGTACTATTTTCATAAAAAATTTTTCTTATTTAAAAAATATAGAATTTTTTTTTTATTTCAGAAGCACAAGTCCATTTAAGAAAAGCTTCAGTAACCAACATCATATATTTGTAGAGGGGACTGAGTTGAAATTCAGCAAGGATAAGTTAAGTAGAGAATTAGAAATTTGGCAGGTTTTTGAAAATTGATATATATGCTGGATATTCAGCAAATAAAACATTTTTAAATGGGGAGTGAATTTTCTGAAGTTGAAAGGGTGATTATTTTGCACTTAATTTTTTTTATGTTTGTATTTGTTCCCATTTCAAACAGTTGACATTTATCTTCAGTTGTTTTCCCTTCCCAAAACATACTGGCCTGATTTTTGATGGTACAGACTGTGAGACATATTACAAATCCATAGTGAGAAAGGAAATGACATTTCTTCTCAGTAGGGCAGCGTTTCTTTATCATGATGAGCTATAGTGTACAGACTATATCAAAGGGGACAAATTATTTGCTATTTAAAGTTTGCATTCTCAAAGAATCAGCTGTTCTATTTTACTGGCAAAATCCTGATAGACCATGTGGGAAAGCTAGTACCAAATGGATGGGCTGGCATCTGTCCCCTTCATGTAGCGATCTCTTAATTAGCAAGCTTCCTTAGGACACTTAAGGAAGAGTGTATTCTCCACAACTTTGATTTACCCCTAATTTGGGGGGAACACATCCATTGTGTAAAATCAAGTACTTTCCTAAGAATTGAATCCACTTCAACTGACTTTTCGTATATGGTTTATAATTTATTTGTTTCGGATAAAATGGTACCTAATCAAAATGCAGGTAAATTTAGAGAGAGTGATACCATCTTTCTGTGTATCTTTTTAGTTTAATATGTGTTTGTAAACAATAAAAAAATACAAAATAAGATCATGAGTTTAAAAACTATAAAATCACTATAAATAAAACAAATTATTATTATTACTCTTGAAATAAGGTACAATAATACATATGGTGGATTAGATAATAAACTGGCATAGCAGAAATTCTATGACCCATGAAGAGGTACCTTAGCAATTAGGTTTTTATTTGTTTAAACAGCTGGAGTTGTAAGTTCAAGTCCTGCTTCATCCAGTCCAGCAGTAACTGTGTCCAGCACTGCTGCATAGCTGGGTATGTGGTTTGTCCCTCTGCCTTAATCACTGTGTCCTCTACAAAATCGTGGCCCTCTTGGTGACCGTGTAGCAGAGTTATAAGGAATAAACAGCTTTGCCTCTAGGATGAGGTCTGTGCCTTGTCTCCATGTCCACAGATGGCCAGCAAGAGGTGGATTTTACTGACACTTACGTGCTCACTTGAAGCCTGATCTACAGTCCCTGGTGCAGTTGGTGGGGAATGAATCACAGTACTGTGTTTTGTCATTGTTTTAATCTGATGGCTTGTTGTCCTGACTCATTTTCTTAGCAAATTGCAGTTACATTTCTTGGGCCTGCCAGAGTGATTGGCAGCTTGTAGAGTGGAAGGGTCTTCTGGAGTCAGCTGACCCAGCTTTTAATCTGTCACGTAATAGCTCTGTGACCTTGGGCAAGCTACTTAACTTTTCTGAGTTTTAATTTCCATTTTTATAAGTTGGAATAGTGGTTCCTAGCTCACCTAGTTTTTGTGAGGATTAAAGACATAAAAGGAAAGTAAAATTCCTATTAGTGAGCTCTTTAAAAACAAACAAAAGGTAGTGGTGGTTGAAGATTTTACATCACACACTTAGATCTCCAGACGTGTGGGTTTGGATGACACACCATTTGTTTAAGAACCAAAATTACACTGGGCCTGCAGCATCCACGTGGCAGGTGAACACTGGTGCACTTTATCACGGCTCACAGACACTCTGGGGGCCTGGTCCCTTCAGTGTGGTTGCTGTGCAAGGTGCATTCCCTGAGTGGACTCGGTGCCCCAGAGTACATGGAGTGCCTGAAGCACAGGGAGGCAGAACCACACCAGGGGCTCAGGGGTGGTTGATGGTGAAGGCACCAATTTGCTTTAGGAATTTTGCTATGAACTCTCTGTTCAGGATTTTGGGCTTGTTCCTTCAAGAGTTCTTTTAATCTAGGTTTTTCTTTATGTGATATTTTTCTCCCTTCATCTGTGGAATTTTAATTTTTGTCTTGTTCCTTTATTGTTAGAAAAGCAAATAATGAAAAAATAAGTTTAGATAAATGCAGGCAAGGGGGAAGAAAAGCAATACAAATTCTTCACCCAATTCTACAGTGTGATTTAGAAAACTTACGAAGTATTATCTGTAAAGGACTTTTATAGACTATTTTCCTTTATGTTTTGATCATCATTTGGATCTTTTGAAACTGGCATTTAAAAATTCTGAGCTCCGAGGGCACCTGAAGATCCTTTTAGCCAGTTCACTGCCTCCAGGCGAGAAAACAGCTTAACCATGCCAAAGCCATGATTTTCCTCCCATTTTTAAAAGCTTTCTAAGGCAGTATGTTATATAGTTAAAATAAATAGAAATTATCGATATCATTTCAAAATAAGGGAAAATGTTGCCTGTGGACATTTAACTGAAGAAAAGAAATGACTGTAAGATTGCGTTGAGATTTTAAGGATTGCTTTTGCCAAATGGTAGGTAATTTGCTAACTGTTTTAGGCAATTCTTTCACACATTTTAACACATGGTTAATGGTTTCATGACTAAGATAACTGAATCAGCTCTATTTGCAAAATAAGCTAAGTGTATGTAAATAAACCTTGCTGCTATTGAAAATTTTGTATTAGTTCCATTTACAGCTTAGTGGGGTTTTTTTTGACTGTGTGTGATCACATTAATTGTTGAGGTTCATGCCATTCTATCATAGTACTAGTACTAAGAGGTCTTTCTTTTAAGGATCTTTTGTTGACTTTTTCATTACATTTCTATAGCCAGATCAAGTCAAATTCATGTTCTCAAGTGTGTCCAAGGAAATTAAGAACTGGTGCATGAAAAGATAGGAAAACAATTCCAAATCCTAGCAGTATCAAAAGCAAGTTTATAATACAGGCAAGTGCATTTACTCCTACATTTCTATATCTTTTTAGGGAGCAACATTTAAAAGGGAGTAAGAGTATGCATATCTAAATGGAATTTGAATAATTATTTTAAATGTCCTTTATTTCCCTGCAGCTTGCTGATGACCGTATGGCACTGGTGTCAGGCATCAGCTTAGATCCAGAGGCAGCAATTGGAGTGACAAAACGGTCACCTCCTAAGTGGGTGGATGGAGTGGACGAAGTAAGTTGAATGGTAGTTTCTCGCTGTGTGTTTTTTTTGAGTAATTATGGCAACATATTTAAAAATATCTGCTATATAAACTAATTTGGCTACACATGAATGTATGTCCCTAGAAATACTTTAGCTTTAGGTTTATTCATACTATAGACCACAAGAAAAAGGGGTGTGCGTGTGTGTGTGTGTGTGTGTGTGTGTGTGTGTGTGTGTGTATTACCTTTGATTTTAGTTTTAACTAAAGTTTTGGCTTTAGTATTAATAATGGCAGTAACTACCTGAATTATAGAAAGAAATTGAAAAACTGTACAATAAGGAAAAGTAGTATTTGATTTTCTTGTATCTTGAATTAAAAGTTGCTCACACATCAGCAAGCCAACATGTTCTCTGAAAGCCAAACTGTGTATTCTGAGTGTAGCTAATGTCTTGGAGGCAGACAGATACCTGCTGGGCATCAGTGGAGTTCTGGTGACTTCATTTGTTTAGATACAGTATGATGTTGGCCGGATTAAACAGAAGATGAAAGAATTAGCCAGCCTTCATGACAAGCATTTAAACAGACCCACCCTGGATGACAGCAGTGAGGAGGAGCATGCCATTGAAATAACCACCCAAGAGATCACACAGGTGAGCATGCCAGGAATCCTGGGGAGACAGGGCCAGCTCCAGCCTTCTCACGGCCATCTTGAAAGCCATTAAGAGTTACTCTGAGTTAGTCAGTGAGTCAGTGTCCTAGAGCTTCACGTCCCAACCTGAAGTTCTCAAAGGGACTTCAAGAGGCCCAAGCTCCTCCGAGTATCAGCATACATGCAAGATGTCTCAGAGGTGTAGGGACTGTTTCCTGCTAGATTCTACTGTGGATGGACTAAATAGAGCTAAAGTCAGAGCATCACTGAGTTCAATCCTCTGATTTTAAAATGTGTAACTTCTATGGTACACTGGTGCTTAAAAAATGTTATGTTAAAATATTGTCCCCGTAACTGAAAAGAAATTTAGAATCCTAGAAAATTTTCTTGTGAAATGTTAAATTTGACTAATTTTTAAATAGTACAACTAGTGTCTAAACTTCAGTATTTATGTTTTTTGTTTAAATCTCCTGGGTGCTAATTAACAGAGCAGGAGTTTGGTGCTATGGGAAAAGCCCTGGAGTGCTGTTTGAACCCTTGTTCTGGGCAATGTGACAGTGGCATAATTCTCATTTAGTTTCTATAACTCTAGCATTCTCATCTGTAAAACAGAAGTAATAATAGTAGTAGTACCTGCTTCATAGCGTACTGTAAATAAGAAGAAAGCCACGATAGAGTGATATAACACAGCATGATGGTGTGTGCACAGTGCTGGGCACATGGCAGGTACTATACATCAGGAGTTGAAATCCAGTTAAATCTTTGTGTGTGTAAATTAAGCCTCAGATCACGTTTATGTTCGCCTTTCTCTACACCAGTCTGCAGGAACAGCATTTCACTTCTCACTTGTGACTTGCGAGGGGTGACAGGTTTAGACAAGGGGCTTCCTTCTCCGGCTTGCTCTGAGCCTCGGGCTCGTTCTCTCAGCTCTTCCACAGATGCCAGCGCGCTGTACAGGCCCTGCCCAGCCGGGCCCGCGGGGCCTACTCCACACAGGAGGAGCGTCTGCTTCAGAACGTGGTGGCCTCGCTGGCACAGGCTCTGCAGGAGCTGTCCACTAGCTTCCGGCATGCACAGTCAGGCTACCTGAAACGTGAGTGTCGCCCGGATTTATTTCAGGGATTTTGAGTAAGAAAAGAACTTTTTGTTTTCTTTGCTTCTTTTTTGTGACTTTATATCCATTTAGCTCCGTACCTTTCATTGTTAGCTTTCGAGCACATTCACACCTTGTCCACCAAAAGGCAGTCTCCTCCTCATGTGAGACTGTGGCCCAGCATGAAGGCACAGCCCTGGCACAGATCGAGGCTGGGCTCCAAAATAGTTCACATCTCAGCAAACAAAATTTATCCCATGTCAGGCTTGAAAAGTTTGAAAATCTATCTAGCTCATGTTAAAAATCTGTTGTTTTCTGGATGTTGGGGTTTGGGGGAGCTGCTCATAAATAGGTAAAAAACAGTTGTTATTATGTAAAGCCACATATTTGCATAACAACTAAAGTATTTGAGAGTGTCTGAAAAACCTTCCTGGGAGTAGGTTGAACACTTCTGCTGGCACTACCAATTCGCTCAGCAAACCTTTTCTTCCGAAAAAGTGCAAAGCCGAATTTCAGTTATTTCCTCATTCCAATTACCTTGTAAACTGGGTTTTTCTTTATTGCCATTGTAATCAATAAAGTCCCTTCATACTCCAAAAACAAAAACAAACTTGTTTTCCCTCCCTCTGACAACTGGTATATTTGTATTTTAATTGTATTACATCTAAAATTTGATTAGGGCCATTTGGAATTATTATTGGAGATGCTTCTAGAGAGAAACATCGTTGTTTTTTATTTAAGTGTTTTGTAACAGCAGTTAGAGCAAATATCTCAGCTTCACTTAGAGATTCTCAGATGGTTGTGTCATTTTTGTCTTGGCAGCAAGTGAATTGTGCATTTACTGTGTGACTTTGTCTTGACTAACCCCAGATGCTTGCATATTGTTGTGTGTCTATAATCCTTTACTCTCCCCTCCCTCGCCCTTGGAGATAGGCTTCTTTAAAGCTGCTAAGAATATCTCCGTTGTGACTGTTGAGTTTTACTCTAGATTTCCCTTTTTTAATGGTGGAAAAGTTGCCAGGATGGTTTACATATTCGAGTAAAGTGAATTCCTATCTATGATAGGCATGAAGAATCGAGAGGAAAGATCTCAGCATTTTTTTGATACATCAGTACCACTAATGGATGATGGAGACGATAATACTCTATACGATCGGGTACGTGAAGGGGCTGCAAAATTGACTGCTGTACATTTGCACTCCGTTTTGTTTCCTTCTCTTTTAGACCTCTAACTTCTGCGCACTGCAGATGGAGCAATGTTGTTGACTTATATTTCCATCAAATAGTTTTTGCAGCAGGCATAAGAATAGCCATAATGTTTCTTCCTTCCCAAGAGCCACAGGGAGACCTTGTAATCTTGCATCTTGCTTTCTTGGAAGGAACCCAGAGAAGCACAGGGTCTTCCTCTGGTGGTTTTGCTCCCCAGCCCTTGTGTGGCTGCAGACCTGGGCTTCTCTCCCTGCTCCCCACTTTTTTGGCCACTGTGCTCTAGATTCTGCTGGTTTGGGGAATTTGGATCTTTGCTGTTAGGGGGAAAAAAAGTGCTTATTTACTCTTGATGTGCTGTATAGGAATGTTTTTAGAATTAATTTTCTTTAAATCATATCTAAACTGGAACACCATAGCATTCCTGAGTGGGGGAAAACAATCTAACCTACAGACTCCGCACTATTGTTTTGCTAGGGTTTTACAGATGACCAGTTAGTGCTGGTGGAGCAGAATACACTGATGGTGGAAGAAAGGGAGCGAGAGATACGCCAGATCATACAGTCTATTTCCGACCTGAATGAAATATTTAGAGACTTAGGAGCAATGATCGTAGAGCAGGTATGTGAGTTGATTTTCTTCATTAATGGGTTTTCCTTCTCCAAATTGTATTAATCCTTTACTCCTGTCCGGAAAAAAACTTGAGTCTATCCCTCCAATGTGTGTGAACAAATATACCTATATATTTATGTATTTACAAATGATACAGATAGACTATTGTTATTCCCTATAAAAAAAAGTCAATAAACCTTTTTTAGATAAAAAATAAATAGATGTTTTAATGTTCTCTGTCCATGCCCCCAGGGCACTCATGTGAGCACCCGTACTTTGGAGACCTGGTTGGTTTTGACCATGCTCAGATGTATGTAAGATTTCTCTTCTGATTTTGGCAGGTTATTGTGTAATGGCAATTAGAACCACTAGCTTTCAAGTAGAATTAAGTTGTTGTTCATCGTTAAAATCTGATTAAGGCATTTTATTATCTTGCCAGCAGGGATTTGGGTCCTGATTCCCCTGAAACCAACTGCAAAGTGGAGTTTCAGGCTATGGAAGATCTAGTTACATTAATTACTACAGCAGTTCCCAGTGAACTGCTATCTGTTCTAATCCAGCATGTTTCAATAAAAGCCCTTTTTTTCCATATAACCCAGTGTGCCCTTCTTCTATTTGAACCAAGAAATTAAACCATTTTTAAAAATTCTCCTTGAGGCCAAATTCTTAATTTTTGATGGTGGATCAGAGCTTACTGTTCTCTGTTCTAATCCATGGAGACCTATATTCACATTGATAGACATGATAGTCAATTTATAGGCCTAACCAAAACCAGGTTGAGCTTAACTGGTGTTCTTTGCTTACTTGAATCCAAGTACTTAAGCAGCGAATGGGAACAGAAGCTAGCCCTTCAGTTTGGGAAGAACCATATATATTTTAAAGCCCCAGTAAGTCTGAATATGGCATTACCTATAATGACTAAATCCAAAAAAGAAACCTCAGTTTGTCAGTATTTCTTTCTCATGAACTAGACTTTATCACAACTAACACAGCACTGTGCCTAATATTGCTTGAGGATGGATTCCAGAGCTCAGTGTGTACCTTTACAACACAGTTAAGTAAAACAGATCGTCCTGTGGATGATGATGTCTGTAATTTGCATATCTCATTTTTGAAGTTCAATTTTCCCAGTTGCGGTTGTTGATCATCTGTAACTATCATTTATTACTCAGGGTACTGTCCTCGATAGAATCGACTATAATGTTGAACAGTCCTGTATCAAAACCGAAGATGGCCTGAAACAGCTTCACAAGGTAATAGCATATCTTTCAATAGGTGAGAATAGGAACTGTTATCAAATATCAAGAATTCATAAGAGGATCTCTTCCTTCAGAACTGTCTTCAGCATTCTTGGGTGTGTTGTGAACTCTCGTACAGCAGTGTAAAGATGGACAGCATCATTTCATTCAGAGCCGACCATGTAGGTCATTGCTGTTTTACTGCAGTTCATGATTCCAGGTGTGCCTCACACTAAGCTCTGAACTGCCGAGAATTCCCTTCTGTGACAGTAAATTCTAAAGGGATTGGAGTTTTCTTCCTTTTAGAAAATATTCCATCCTTTCTGAGTCTTCTTGTTTTAGGAAATCAATTGAATGGGCATTTGCTAAAATATGTGTTGAAAAATCTGCTTGCGGCTGCTGACTCAGTCCCTCTCGTTGTGACGCATTTCTGATGAATTGCTGGTGGGAGAATCATTCAGGGGAAGATAAAAATCTAATTTCCCCATTAATTACCACAGCATATCTGTGTATTACCTTGAGAAAAGAGAAGTTTGTTGAAGTGAGAGTATTAGCTCTCTTATTCTTTGCTGATAAGGTAGCTATTTCCAGGGTGTTTTTCATGATATTTGTTAATTTCTATCTTTTCTAAAAATAAATGAAAAGCATCTTAGAAATCTTATAATCAGTTATGAGAAACATATGCATACACTTCTGAGTGGCTTTCATATATAATTGGGTACATATTTCCTTTAAAAAGAATACAATAATAATACTTCCAAATAAAATAAATTTTGTCCGTTTTCTTGTATCTTTGAGACCCAGTGTTATTTTTAGCCATATAATGAGCAGTTTTTCAATTCACTAATGTCCTACTCTACCATTTTTCTGAAACCAATTGCTTCTGTAGCTGAGATGGGCTCATCTAATAGTAGTATCAGGTTTACAAAAAGTCAAACCCTGCACAAGTCTGACCAGAAACCCTGAATGGTCTTCACAGCATGCTGTTGCCCAGGGCTGGGTAGGAGTGAGGTATCTGCTGAGAGTGGGGAAGGGAGTCTTGCCAGTGTACACTGAGGCTTTTCAAGCATTTAGATTAACTTAGTTGCCAAGCCCTGTATATTAAAAGTGAAAACTAGCTTTAGTTTCTCACTCTATAGTACCCAGGTTTTGATATGCTGCTAAATTATGCATTGGTTTTGAAGTTTCTTAAATAAAAACTAGTGAAACATGTTTTGTAATATAACACAAATAAAGGGAAAAGCTTTCTCCACAGGAGTGAACAAATCTAGTGGGAACTGAAAATTTCGTTTTAGGTTCTACTGTATAAATCATTTTGAGAGGTTTTAAAGTATATTATTTTGCATTGGCTTCCCTGGTGTTCTGGGGTACTTATTAGAAAAGGAAGCACGCCCCCCTTGCCTCCCAGGTCACGCTGTTGCCGCAGCAGGGCTACTCTTCCCTGGCAGTTGGCTTGTCTGCAGGTGGTGGAATCTTGGGTGTTGCTCATGCTGACCTGACTCTCCAGATGTCTTACCTGTCCTGATGTTTCCTCCCAGTTGATGAGGGGCTCCTCCAGATAGGTTAGGTGGGTTTATTTAGGAAACAAAACCACCGGTCAGAAGGTTGGTAGGGGGCCAGGGAGGGAGAGCAGAAGAGATTGGCTGTTCTGACCAGGTCTTGCCACTTGCTGTCTGCTCTTCATCCTCTTTGTGCTGCAGTAGCAACATCTGTAGAAGGGCAGGGTGTGCTCCCCTAGGATGTGCTTAGAGACCCCTCTCCACTTGCCTCTATCCCGGCTCCCCCTTCTCAGGGTTCTGTGTCCATCAGTAGCAACATGGGGTGCTTTAGCACTTCTGCCCCTAGGCATGGTGGACTCATGTTGCTCCCTGCACAACGTGGTGAAGGGGTGCTGAGGGCGGGCCCAGTCCCTAGGTTGAGCTTGCGGAAGCTCCTCTGTCGTGTCGTCATTCGTGCAGGGAGACCTTGCCTCAGGTGTGTTTTCTCTGCATTTGGCATCCATGGGGCATATATACCTGTTTTTATTTCAAAGGAAGAATTTTTTTCTTATTTCCAAATTCAGGGGAGGTAGAAAACCGGCCTCTTTGGAACCCTCAGTTCCTTATCTACTGGTTATGGTGGCTTCAGCCAGTTGTTTCATTTCATAGTGAATGAGGTGTGCATTCATTTAAAGAACAGTATCCAGAAACAGACAGCTCTTATTGGAAGAGCGGTTCATGACAGTAAGTGGGAGTCAAGGCAGGCAGGAGCAGGTCCATCTGGATCCAGAGGCATGATCTTTGACTTCTCCGTCAGCTTTTGGCTTAACGGTAATTTCAAACAAGTGCATTCATAAGTCCAGGATAAATAAGTAGCTCCCGGATCATGGGACTTGTCCACTCCTTTTGATTGAATTCACTTTAATTATTGAAGGGATTACAGTAACATAGCCTATAGCAGAGATGTCAGTTATGTGCAGATAGAAGCAGAAGCCCAAACTGGAAATGACTGAGACTTGATCTGGGATTTGGGGGAAAATGACTGCCTTTTTTCCCTCCTCTTTCTGCAGGCAGAGCAGTATCAAAAGAAGAATCGGAAGATGCTTGTGATTTTAATATTATTTGTCATCATCATTGTCCTCATTGTTGTCCTCGTCGGCGTGAAGTCTCGCTAAGTGACGTTGGGTTCTCATGGTGTGCTGGCTGCGTGGATTTCCCAGGTGTGAGGGGCTCAGCCCGTGCTTGGCTGGCTGCCTGCGGAGGTGCGGCCCCCGGATCCGAGAGTTGGGGCAGCAAACCTTTCCATGGACTCCTCCTCCCAGTCGTGCTCAGCGAGGGGAATGGGCTTTTGTTTTTCCTTCACTGTCAAGAACTTACGGACCTTTGATACTGTTGCAGAATAGAGATTGAGTTCTGTGATCAGGTATAATATATATTTTTTTGAGAAAGAGAAAATGAGTTGAAAGTTTACAGGCACTGCAGAAGCTGTTCAGTATTATACGTGTACATGCTATTTTTCTAGCAGTCATGTTTGAGCAGCATGTTAAAATAATTTTTGGAAAAAATTTTTTTAACCATCTGGTTTTTAAGAAATTTGGTACCAAAATTTATTAGTAGAGGCAAAAATTCCTCTTCATCTTTCTCTCTATATTTTACAGTTGAAAACAAACTAAGAAGTCCTTTAAGAATTTATAATCCATTCCCCATTAACTTAATTTAGCTATTCCATCACTGTTAATGATCAGAGTAACAAAGTGTGAAAAATAAGAAACCATCATTGATGTTAATTAACACATTTAGATGGGCCAGTTAAAACAGCTATATAAGTTTAAATTAATTGTAAATAGAGTATTCCTCATTTAAGATTTTTGCACTGCATTTTCTACTGTAAACCAAAAGGAGTTAGTAAACAAAACCATCTAAATGTAAAAGTTGGTGATTTGAATGAACCTCATGTTATAAGGAAGCTTGACAGTGTCATGAAAGTCACCAGATACGGCCAGTGTGTCCCTGTGGCCGTCCCTGGCCACCCTTGCTCAGTCCATTACTTACATACTAACTACATAATGACCTGTTCAAACCAGACTCCATTTAATGAACTGTGAATTTACACAGAGGCCTTTTTAAATGGGGCACCCCATTTAGGGTTAGTGGACCTCAAATTATTAACCAAACATCACTCCATTTCAAAGTAAAATATTCCACCAGTGATTTGATTTATCGGCTCTTCAACTGCCACTTAGCAATGCCCAGAACGTAGGCATATTTCCGAGGATTGTGAAAATTTGACTAGGAGGAAATCCTTCGGTTGTGTGAGCATAGATCAGATCACCAAAGCAGGACTCTGTCGTTTACTTACCTACTGTCAATATGGTGCTCGAATATATTCCTGGAACTGTAGAGTAATGTGGGAAGTGATGATAACTTTGAAAACTGTTTATTGGCCCTGTTTTAATTGACACCAGTATAGTTTTAATGGTCTTTGTGTTATTTTTGATGGCTTTTCCATTGTTTTTGCTTCTCTTAAAAAGTTTAAGAAGAGCATGACCTCGTTAAATATGTTACCCTTTATTTGGACCAGTCACGTAAGATGTCTCTGTAGAATTGACTTTGAAGTTGCTTCCAGAGATTCAAGTTGTCCAAACAGATCATGGGCTCGACACCCAAACCCCTGCCCCAGCCTCCCCTTCCCAAGTTGTTTATGCCTCCAGGCAGCCACTGGTTTTTAAATTATTGATGTGACGTGGATGACAATGATCTAAATGTGTCCTGGCATTTCAGGAAATAGCATGGTATTCCCTGACAAACATTTATTAGGAAAGAGGATCATGTAATACAGATCTGGTGCCTCCGCAATCACCTCTGAAATGTGGGGCTTCTACAGATCTTGAGAGTCACTCACTGTAGGTTCTTTAGTCCCATTTTAACCCAATGGTTGAGAAGTTCAAAGGTAGACCAGTTGCTCATAGGAATGGGGCTGTTCACATTAGGGGATTTGCCTCAAAAATGGTCTACAGAGGCAATACTAGATCATTGTTGAAGCTTCTTAAAATGCTCAGCCTTATTAATCCTTGAAGGAAAGTGATCTTTAAGAAAGAATCACCATTTATTTATATTTATTTTTACCAAATGAGGTGATTAGGGTTGATTATTGTGCCCCTAGCCCATTGGGTAAAATAATAGATCTGATTAGAAATTGTTTTAAGGATTACATGTGGGCATGGGGGAATTGTCCCATTCTGCCTGAAATCAGTGCAGTGCTGGCTAAAATCCCAGCTATCTGCTACCATAACTGGTGGCCCAGTGCAGGAAATGGACAGACCCAGCATGGAGCTGGCCCCAGATCCTGTTCACCGACCTGCTTGCGTACTCAAACCACTGTATTTTTCTGTTGAGCCTATACTTGGGGAAAGATCAATAGCATTTGAGGAAGTAAGAGAAAATTGATAATCATGTCCTGGTACCTCAGGGTAATTCTTTCCCTCTGAACAAGGTGGCCTCCTTTGCCTGATGACAGCTGTTGTCCATAGGCACGTCAGACCCTTCCGTGGAGGCGACAGGTGCTCAGTCCAGTCTCTTCCCTGGCCTGCAGTGCAGTGCGCCCTTGGAGAAGAGGCCCAGTAGGGAAGGCTCCCTTTAGGCACCCCGGGATGGGCCTCTGGACACTTGTCCCCTTTAAAGTGTCCTGGGGTGGCTTCAGTTAAGCGGAGCTGGGAGGAAAAACGGAAATGTTTACAGTCAGTTCTCCAAAGCTTCTGATCTTTCCTGAGATTGTAACTGAAAACTGCTGTCTCTTGTTTTGTTCATTTTGGGGGTGGTGGTGCTGGCTGGGCCATGCCACGTGCAATGTCTCTAATTTAACGAATTTGCCTCTTTCTCTGCTAATTGAGAGAGCATTATTTATTTGTTTTGACACAAGTGCTTTCAGTGTTTTACCCTAGCTAATGGCTTCTTAAAGGTAATAAAACCCTTCCAACCTAATTGGTCAGATAAGACTTTTTTCTCCTATGCTTAAATAAAGCAATTAGTGAAGCGCTTCTATCCAAAATGACTTTTTTTGTCCTTTTTTAAAACTAATTTACTGTTACTGGAAACTTTTTGTACAATAAAGCAGTCATGCAGATTAAAGAACATCCTGGAATCCTAGCATTAATTTTAACGATGGGTTCATGTTTTCTTGAAATGCATTTGTGTTAGAGGAGGGCCTGGCCAGTGTTGTGATCGTTTGGGCTGATGACTGTTTGTTTTGTGCCTCAGGCCTTTGCCTTGGTGTCTGAAAGTGGATCTGTCTATCTAATGGATGCTTTCAGAGAGACCAATCTGTTTGCTATCCAATATACAAAAAGGGAAACTAAGAGGCAGATTTTCTTATGAAAACATATGCTTTACATACATACCAAAAAGCATTTGGAAATCTTCAAATAAAAGTGTAATGTGCCTTGTTGAGAGATAACACACAGGCTCCAGGACACCTGACTTTCTAAAGGACTGGGTGTTTTCTGTCCTGTTACAGCACAAACTTCAGGGATGGTGTTTGCCAGTTGAGCTCAAAGCCAAGACTCTGCCCCTGAAATGTGTCTGGGGTATTCAAAGATGGCCCTTTGTCATGAAGCTTGACTCTCATGCATCTGTACTCCTGGTGGGAGTTGTGGCTGTAAAGTCATGATGGGCGTATGTATTTTTTTGGTTAAACACCAGAGTCTAGACACCAAAGTAGAACCTGTTGCTGCAAGTGGTCTCTGTGGCATGGGCCTGAGATACTGCTGTCACTCGCAGCAGTTACCTGCAGAATCTGTCCACAAACCATGCAAAAGCAGCCGCCACCTCCTGTGGCGCTCCCACCCCCAACTTGCTCACCAGCCACTGGCTCTGTCCACGAACCAAATCCACTCTCAAAGCGTGGACATTTGCCATAGGCTTCAAGGACATTCTGACCAGCAGTGATAACATTAAAGAAGTCCTCCATCCTGATGGGGGCTGTGTAAAGATGGCAAAACTTGTGAATGTGCAGGCTCTGTCACGTGTGAGGTCTTGAATGGTAATCTCTTGTGTTATGTTCCTGACTCTTTGATGGCCATTCTTGAAATGGCACTAGAGGAGTATGCAGGTATAAGTCGAAACATCGCTCTTGAGCACAGCGTTGTGAAGACTCAGGCCCCAGTGCAGGGGGTGAGCTGCCAGGAACTGAAAATGGTAGACCATTGGGGTGTCGCATTTGAATGCTCACCTTGATTTGTAGAACAGTCTGGGTGTAGATTTACCCTGCTAAATTTAGTGAACATCCTATAAGAAGTCTAAACATAACCCAAAGTTTGAGCAAGCTAGAAGTCTTCCTGGTCTATCGCCTGTACTTGTATAGACACAGCAAAGCAACTTACCTGGGATAGCATGTTCTACATGCTGCCTTGATTTTGGTCATTGGGATCCCTTATTCTAGTCAAACCATGTGGGAACCATATGGCGAGACCTTTTCACAGAAGGGAAATTAGTTCATTAGTTGGGTATAGGGAAGACAGGACAGCACTAAGAATTCCTCCTTGGTGGTGGTGCTAATTCATTGATTAGTTATGGTAAGTTTCTGTTTCCTCTGAGTTAGGTGGGCAGACCCCATTCATCTGGTGTTATCTACATCTTAAACTTAGCACTGTGTATACAGATGTGTTCCTCGAGTTGTATATACATCTGTGTGTATTAGCCCTTAAAAACTCCTGATTTTCTCTCTCCAGATTCTCTTGACCACCCAGATGCCACCTGTAACCTTGCTGCCTGATGTTTTTTTAAAATTTCGTGTTTAAACTGAGAGAAAACAACTCCCTTCAAATTGAAGGGTATTAGAATGAACTAATGAGAGCCCTGGCAGACATGCAGAGACTTTCAGCGCGCATGAGAGTGTTTCCAATTTGGGACTCAGTAAGCGTCAGCTGTGTGCATCCTGTCCCCAACTCCACACCACCCTTGGAAAGACGTCATTGTACCAGTTTATGGCTGGGTTTTCTTACTACACAAAGGGACATTCCACAGAGTCAAATGGCAGAGACTTGTGCACAATTATCTGGTCAATTGAGACAAAAGAAAATAATCATTTGTCCAATTGTCCCAATTAGCTCTCTGGACTGTCCTGAATGCTCAGGATAATTGTGTGGTTCTCCACTTCAGCTCCATAATCTGGTTAAAATGGACCATTTAAATGAGGTTCCATTCAACACAATGCATACTTAAATCCGGCTCAGTTAAAATAGACCACTGGGTTTAGCATTTTCTGTTTGTCAACTATAATTTTATAATTGCTTTTAGCTAATCATCCAAATTCTGCCGTTCACTGTCTCTCGTTTCATAGATGTCGTAATGGAGGCAGAGGGCTCTGGTTTGCATCATTCGGTGTCTTTTTTTCTCAGAGCAAGTGCTGAGGGAATCAGATTTTTTTTTTTTTAAACTTGGTGTTCTGACCCAGGACACCATAATAGGCCTCCATCTTCATCAACCGTAGGGCAAAGAGAGCATCTCCTTCCACCCCAACCTCCCCCTTTCCCAGATAGGGAAACTGAGACCTACAAGAGGACTTGCCAAGGTCACAAAACTAGTGTAATGCAGGCCAGGACTAGAATCATCTACTTTCTAATTTCCAGACCAGTACTATTTCTACTTATGCCATTTTAATTGTTCATTTATTTCCAAAATTAAATGACCTTCTTCAAGAAGGATTTAATGGTCAAGATGTGATTTGGTAAAAAGCTTCCTCAAGGATTTTTTTCTTATTACAAAGATGAGACCGGCTGAGGCCAAGGGAGATTTGCAAACAGTGGTATGTCATTATCTCCAGCTCTGTTTTTTGTGTAATTGGTGTGAAGAGATTGCTGCTGATGAATCAGCCTGCTGCCCGACAGAAAATAATGATGCTTCTGTGATGTGACTCAGTGTACGTACATATATATTTGTGGTTGTTTACAAAAGGTATGTGAGTACGTAAAACGCCTACCAAGATGGATAATGTCATTTTAAAGTTGTAAATAATAAAAAGAGTCTTGAGCAAAACTGATTTTACAATCGCCTGAGAATGCAGCACTTCATTTCAACACTACGCAATAGCTAGAAATTGATTTTTTTAAAATCCAATTAAGCCTCAAGGTTGGTTATCCATTTAAAAGGTCGATGAGTTAAACAATGACAGTACCTTCAGTTCATGCTAATAATTAAATTTACACAGAACTTCAGCACTTAGTCGTGCCTTGTGGAGGCATACTTTGCACGACACTGAGCTGACAAAGCCCCCCAGGACCCCATCCTGATGAGTCCCCCAAGCTGGCTGCCACCCCCTCACCCTCCCGATTCCCAAAGTCCATCCTGCGGAATGCTGCTCTCAACAGACAGCTGTGTCCTGCTCCACATACCAGCCCCTCTTTTCTGTGGCCCCAAGAGTATTAGGAAATGGAAAGCAGCCTCTCATTTAAGAAAGAGAGATGTATACACTACTTGGTTTCACGTGCTGCTGAGTTTATAATGTAACAAGAGAAATCCTGTTTTAAAAATAGTACTTTATAGAGCATGTTTACTATGTGTCCTGAACGTGTTAAGACTTCAAATGTCTATTTATGGTTCTCATAGGTAATGTTTAAGCATTATTGAAATTATGAAGATGTTAGGAAAACCACGAAACTGACTGGAATGCTTTTTACCCTGGGTTATAATGTCACTCGAGTTTTGTAAATCACTGAGAATGGATAAGTGATCTTATTTCAAGTCTAGCATTTTAACCTACATTATAATGTAAGTAAGGTTGGTGCATTTTAGTAGTTTCCATCCATAAGTATGAATCAGCCCAAAATATGGAACCTTCTGGATTTAGTGAGAAAAATACTGAATTTCCTTCTCACTGCTCTTAAAAAAAACTAACAATTTCTGGTTAGTTTTTCCTTCCCCCACCCTTTCCTCACGCTGTTCAGCTGCCAAAATTCTCAGCAACAGATTTATGATTCTTTTTTACTTTTTCAAAGATCTACATTCAGATACTACAGATAGACGTGCAATAAACACTAGGGTGTTTCTGGAAAAACTGTGACTCAGGTTTTTCAAGATTGAATCATTTTCAATGCACTAGAGAAACATACCATTTAAAAGGATCCTATAAGTGAAGGTTTTTGTAAAGAAAAGATTCCTTGATCAAAATAAACATTTACCCCCTAATTTTGCTTTTCTATAAGTCTCTATTTCCATATGTTGAGTTTGCTTAAAGGAATGTGGAACCACATTTGGTCTGTTAATTATTTCTCTTTTCCTTCCCACAGCCTCCCTGTCCCACAGCTCCAGGTCTTCAAAATGCCCTTGAAAACTTTTTCAGCTATAAACATAATTTTGCTGGTGTTCAGAAATAAATAGGAATTTAGTTCCCGAGACACGAGCGTTATTGCTGTCGTAACACTGTGCCCTTCCTGGGAGAATAATTTAGGCTGCTGGAACGGCAAGGGATCTCCGCAGCTAGTTCAGCCCCCTCACTTCATCGAGAAGTCCTAAAAACTGATGTGAGGAGGAACACTTTTTGTTGTTAATAAATGGCTCTGCTAGTACATTTTTATTAACACATTCTCTCATCCCACTGATATGGGAAAGTAAAAACACAGCACTTGCAGATGAGATTACAAAATGTGCTTTTCAAGCAAAGTGCAAAAGATGACCTGCAGTATGCTACCTTTTGCGGAAGATCCATGAATATGTACAATCTTTTTCTTTTTTTTTTCCAAAAAGAAACAGGGAAGATAAACCAAACGCTAATAAAAATGGTTACCTACAAGGGATGAGTGAAAAAAAGGGGGAAAGGGAAGGATGGGGGAGACTTCTGTGAGCATTTTTTACAGTTTTGACTTTTGGATGATATAAATGTTTTATGTGTTCAGGAAAGAAGATGTGAAAGAATGAAAACAGCAAACCCCTTACATTAAATACAAAACAGATACATGAACCTAAGTGTACATTGTATTGAAAAACCACACAAAAATCAAGTAAATTTTGAAAATATCCATGGGATAAACTCTAAGAACAGAAAGAACAAAGAAATCTTGAACTTTATGTTGTAGGTTTGTTGTGCCAAGTGGAGGCTGTTGGCAGGTGTGGGAAAGAGCAAATGAGCATCCAGATGAGG